TTCCTTAAAGAGAACAAATACACAAGTGGAAACCAACTCTCATAACTACAATTAAAAGATTGCTCATCTTTGAGTTGAGAGAGCAGACTGCAAGGTGTGTGTGTGTGTGTGTGTGTGTGTGTGTGTGTGTGTGTTTGTGTGTGTGTGTGTGTGATTACAAAAGTGTTGTGCCTTTGAGTGTATATGAAAATCAAATTTCTAGAGGTAGACTAGCTAGCTGCTTGCCTTATAGAAAAGTTGCAGCATTTTAAAATTCTTCTGCACAATAAGAAAGTACCTGGGTCCCCAACATCAAACACCCATTTTTTAAAAATCTTTTCTGATAATTGAAAAAAAACTGTTTGCATTTGCATTTCTTAGTTATAAGTGAGGTTAAGTGCCTTCCTAATCTGTTTTACTTTTTTTTCTTCATAAAAGAAAGTCATATCCCCATTCTTTGACTATTCCTTAGAGCATTTTTTCATAATAGAAATTAGCATTTAACCTAATTTGAAGCATTTAATTTAGCAGACACATTATATTAGGCTAAGTCTTAAGAGACTAGCCAAGTGTACTATAGTAATACTTTAGTATTTACTCAAATTATTTTAAAATGTTGGATTACTGTAAGCTTGCCAATTTATAATCTAAGATTAATACCATATTATTAATTTGGTGAACTAAAAATGGCATTTCTGTTATTTTTGTACATTCCTTTGTGCGTTAGTCCAGGTAGGCTACAGAAACAAATCCAGGGAGACCCATATGTATAGGAAAGAGCTTTATATCAAAGAATTTCTGTATTAAGAAAACATCCCAACTCAGCCCAGATCAAGTCCATAAATTTGATATTAGCCCATAAGTCTGATATTAGCCCATGAATTCTTATTCAGACTCACAGAGCATGTACAATGATGCTGAATGCAGGAAGATTACAGGCCAGTGGTGGAAAGTCCTGTGGGTCCAGTGGTGGTGGAAGGCGGCTCCATGTGATGTCAACAGGAATGTGAAGCAGAGAGAGAGAGTGGCTTGCCTCTTTTGGTGACAGAATCAAGAGATAGGAAGTCCCTGACTCCTCATGAGAAGGCCACAGCCACAAGGAGGGATCACCAGGTTGTGACCTGACTGACAGGCTAGAGTCTACCCCTTCATTCTTATTTATCAAGTTGGCATAAAATTGTGTAACTACCACACTTTGTGTGTATACCAGAATATATTTTACCAGTTACACATTGCAAAAGACTAGTGGTTTTTTCAGACCAGTATTTATCTGGGGATAATATGTGCATTTTCCAGAAGAAAAGTGTCTAAAGAATATGATGATCAGTGTTGCACACAGATGTACTATACTACTATTGACAGGAAAATAAGTTTGTTAGAGTTGTTGGGTGTTCTTGTTTCTTTAGTTTGTAGGCAACACTGAGAAATCCTTTATGGAACAAGTTCTTATAATAGTAAAAGTTAATTCCTCCAACAGTTATTTCATCTAAAATACCGTGGCTGCCATAGATTTTATTTCGTCTCACTACATAGGGTTTCCAAAGCTGTAAGTCGTTAAGGGAGCAAATAATCCCATCTTTCTCCCTCAGAGCAACTGGTGGGTTTGAACCTCACAACTTGAGTAGGCTGTCCAATGCTTAATGTTTAGTGCTCCTTTTTAACCAGGACTCTTTTTAAAAAATGAGAACTCAAGTTAAAAATATAGCAACTTTGAAATTATCTTTTGCATTGAAGTTATTGAACTATTATTTAGAGTGAATATAGCACTGTGGGTGTAAGCCTCTTGAGTTTAAATTTTGATTCCACTACTAGCTTGTGACTTTGGCTAACCACTTAATTTCTCTTTGCCTGTTGCCTCATCTCTAAATGGGAAGAATGATAGCATCTATCTCATAGATCTTATTAAATAAGATAATAGTAAAGTACTTTCTGGAATGAATTAAGAACTCAACATGTTACTTAAATGACTATTAATACTTTAGTCAATGTAATCATAATTATAAATCCTTTTTTCCTCAGACATTCAGAAATATATTCCATGCTATCAGCTTTTTAGGTAAGTAATATTATTAGTAGTAAACTCATCAAAAACTTAACTGCCAGAGAGACAATTCTGACTCATAGCCACCCTATAGGACAGAGTAGAACTGCCCCTGTAGATTTCTGAGACTCTTTACAAAAGTAGAAGCTTCATCTTTCACCTATGGAGCTACTGGTGGTTTGAACTGCTGACCTGGTAGTTAGCAGCCCAATGTACAGCCCAGTATGCCACCAGAGCTCCTTAGTATTATTGGTAAGAATAAGTAAGTAGTTTATCATAAAAATGATTCTCTGTAAGTGAGTGAATTTTTAAAATTAACAAAATATTGTAGTTATCCATCATATATGATGATGATTAAAATAAAAAGATTTTTTTTAATCTCTGAAAATTCATCTGTGCATTGTGAACCCTGTCTAGTGGTTATAGCACTTATATTTCATACTTTCCTTGTCCCCACTGCCTCTCCCAAATACCAACTTTTACCATGATAAACGCTTTTCCTTCCCTTAGCTAATCACCACATTGTACATTGCACAGTCACATAGATCATCAGTAGCAGTCCCTTTCCCCCAATTCTTTGATTCCTATATATTTATTTTACCAACTGTTTCCTCATTGATCTTTTTTTAATGTTATCTTTTGCTTATTAGACAGTTAGGTTCTTCATTTAACTGCTTTCCTTTTGCCATTCTAGGATGAAAGCCTGAGTTCTATAGACTACTTATTATCTTTTACCTTAGAAAGGCAAAGTAAGAAGTCTGTCTGTTAACCCTAGTACATTATATTTTTAAAAGACTTTTATTGATGTGTATTATGTACACAGATAGAAGAAACAAATGAGTTTTTTCAACAATAACAAAAAAATGTAATCAACATACATGTAGTTTTAGTGAGAGTTTGATGATTTATATAAGCCATAAATGAAAAATCAGCAGTTATAGTAACTCTGTGTATACATCAGTAAGGCTATTAAGAGTTATAGTGAAGCATATATGGTTAAGGTAAGAAAGATGGGTGGGTGATAATGCCATGGGTGGGGGGGAAGATTATGGTTTTAAACTGCTATACCAGGAAAAAGTGCAGTTCCCTTTGTGCCTAATGAAAATGGACATGAAAATATTTGTTGAATGACTGAGGAATTCTTGGTTAAAAAGGGATTCACTTGAGGGGTCCCCTGAGTCAGCAAAGGCAGAGTGAGGAAAAAGGCAGATTGATTTAATACCTGTTTCCAACTACCTTAATAATAAGATCAATTTAATAGTTTTACAGGTGAGAACATTACTTTCTCATCATGACTTTTTAATACATCATATAAATATATATCAAATAATATATAATAGCCCCCTCCCGAGGGGAACAAACAACAGAAATGTGGGTGAAGGGAGACAGCAGATGGTGTAAGATATGAAAATAATAATAATTTATAATTTATCAGGAGGTCACGAGGGTGGGAGGGAAAAAAGAGGAGCTGATACCAAGGCCTGAAGTAGAAAGAAAATGCCTCGAAAATGATGATGGCAACATGTGTACCAATGTGCTTGATACAATTGATGCATGGATTGTTATACGAGCTGTTAAGAGCTCCCAATAAAATTATTAAATAGCATTATTAAGCTTAATGCTAAAAAGATGGAAATACTATTTGTGTGGAAAAGAAAGAAAGCTGAAAGTAATGAATGCTTTACGATCTATTGCAGTGTTCTTCCCGTTTTTCTTACATCTTTGGCATTCTAACTACAGAACAAAACGATTAAACCCAAGCCTACTCCCTCAAATACTCCTCCTGCAAGCCACTGTTTATCTGATAAAAGCATAGCTTGTTGGAAATGTTGGCTTTGTATCTTTCATTTAAAATAGATTAGCAGTTAATAAGGTGTCCTTCTTGTGCTATGAAGCTTATATTTTTTGTATGTATACATATTAAAATCCCCATATCGTTTTATTTAGTGGATAGCTTAAAATTTTGTTTCAGGATAAAAAAATGTGGTCAGACTTATTCTTTGATAAATTTCTGTAGCCTTTTCCCATTTTCATTTTTTATGGACTTAACTGTGTCTGTCACTTTGAGAACTTACCGTACTATTCCAATCTTTTAGGATTTCATCTGACATGGATTTTAATTAGGTAGTTTAATTAAGAGTAACTAAAATATACTAATAAAATTTTTCATATGTATAGTTTATTTGACATGTGTTTAAAATTGGCTTTTTTGGCTTTCACAGGTTTTATAATTCTGTAGGTGAAGTTAATGAGCAAGCATTGAAGAAAATATTACCAAATGTCCAAAAGGTATTGTAATATTTTACTCTAGAAATCTTAAATTTCCTTCATTTACCTGTTTGTGTTATTTTGTTTGGAGAGGAGGACAAGGATAATAATATACATTATTTCTGGCTCCTAAAAATTGAGTATTTCGACAGAACCTTTAAGCGGTATTTGTCTCCATAATATTCTATAAGGCATGTGAAGAAAGGTTTGCTGAACAAAATTAGTTGGTAAACAATCTGTTCTCATCTTTCCTTGATTATAGCCATTTAACATTGATCTCTCTTACCTCTATTCTAACATGTTTTTTGTCATTGTAGTACTTAATTCATTACTATTATTTTAAAGATATAAGCACCTATATTTATTCCCCTTAGCTTACGGTTACTATTTTTTATATTACAGGGATCCCTGGTGGTGCTGTTGGGTAAGCAATCAGATTGCTGACCACAAGGTCTGCAGTTCAAACCCACCAGCTACTCCTTGGGAGAAAGATGAGGCTTTCTGCTCCCATAAAGGTTTAAAGCCTCAAAAAAACCTATATAAGGTTGCTATGGTTTGGAACTGACTTGATGGCAGTGGGTTTGCCATTTAATTTGCATCCCTCATTGCATATTGAGTTTCCTATTAAAATGTTAAATTATGAAAAAACATTGCCAAATAAAAACATTTTTAGGTATTATGGGTTTTTTTTAACATCATTTTATTGGGGGCTCATACAATCCATAGATATATCCATTGTGTCAAGCACATTTGTACATTTGTTGGCATCATCTTTCTCAAAACATATGCTTTCTACTTGAGGCTATTATGTTTTTTTTCTTAAAACTTTTTATATCTGATTTAAGAATAACAGTAATTTCAATAAAGGAAGATTCTCTTGTGTGTGTGTTTTTTAATTCTTTGTTAAAAACATTTAGGTCTTGTTTCAGTTTTATTTGGGTATTTGAAAATATACCTACAAAATGTTTTAGAAGTTTAATTTCTTTAGTTAAAATATACAAATATAAAACTTTAGTTGATGAAAACATCAGAGATTGCTAAACTAAACCCACTGCTGTCATGTCTCTTCTAATTCTTAGCTGTGAATTAGGGCATATAGAACTTCCCCTGTGCTTTCTGAGGCTGTGAATCTTTATAGGAACAGAAAGCTTGGTCTTTCTCCCTTGGAGTATCTAGTGTTTTGAACTGCTGACCTTGTTTTTAGCAGCCCACCTTGTAACCCACTCTGCTCCCAGGGGCAGTCAAATGTTTTTCTCTATCAATTGCTAGAAATTTTATTTTTCCTTTTGAAAATGTTTAGGAGCGCTGATGGCATAGTGGTTATGCTTTGAACTGCTGTTTGAAGCCACCAGCCTCCTTCAGGGGAGAAAGATGAGCCTTCCTACTCCCATAACAATTACAGTCTCAGAAACCCAAAGGGCAGTTCCAACCTTGCCCTGTAGGGTTGCCATGAGTCAGAATTGACTTGATAACAGTGAGCTTTTGCTTTTTAAAAAAAAGTTGGGGGGAGGAAGGGAGGTGAAAAAGAGGAGCTAATACCAATGGCTCAAGCAGAAAGAAAATATTTTGAAAATGATGGCAACATATGTATAAATGTGTTTAATACAATTGATGTATGGATTGTTATAAGAGCTGTAAAAGTCCCCAATAAAATCTTATTAATAATAAAATAATTAATAATTAAAGTTTATTATTACTAAACATTTGTGTAGAATGTTACCATTCACAATCCTGATTTATTCTGCCTCAAAATCAGTCCTATATTCATCTAAATTTCAGGTAAAAGCTATATAGGTTAAGCTTACTAATTTAACAAACCAAGTGTCCTTATAGAAAGTTAATTTGTTTTTAGAGACTAGTTGTTTATTATGTGAAACCATGTTGGGATTTTTTTCATTTGAATTTTTACTAAAGATTAAGATTTAACAATCATTAATGTTATAAAAGAAACCAGAGGATGTTTAGAATTTCTTTTCTCTATCTTGAGCAAAATTCTAATGTACCCTTATAACTAACTGATTGGGAAGAAATTTAACTGTTAAGTCAACTTGCACACTTGATAAAAGTAAAATGTAAGCTATCTTGCTAAAAATTCAGAATAGGTCATCTTCTAATAATGTCAGTTTTATTGTTTAATTATAACAGTAAGACACCTGATATTTTTTCTGTAATTTTTCAGAATGTGGTGGGTTGGTACAAGTTCCGACGTCATTCAGATCAGATTATGACATTCAGAGAGAGACTACTTCACCAAAACTTACAAAAGCATCTTTCAAACCAGGAACTTGTTTTTCTGCTACTAACAACAAGTATAACAACAGAAAGCTGCTCTACTCATCGGTTGGAACATTCCTTACATAAACCGCAAGAAGGGTAAATGGTGGCTAGTCATTGGCTAACTAAAACTAATAGCAACTTGTGTGTAATATTTTTTTTATAGTACTTTAACTAAATTAGCCCAGTAACTGTGAGGCAAGTCTAATTATGCGTTCATTAAACTTGGAGAAATGAAGGTCAAATAAGGAAACTGAAAGTGTTGTGTGGAAAGCTAGCTTATATTCTGACACTGAAGATTTGCAAACATATTCGTGTTTTAGATAATTGGTTGATAAAGGTTGTAGTACTAAACTTAAAACTGGGTTTTCTATAATCTCTACAAAGAAGCAGAGGTAGTTCATGATCATCCACCAAATGAGCTTAATAGGGCTTACTCAGAAGCTGTATCAGTTACATGCTCATGAAGTATAAGAATTGAAAGAGTATTTGCTAAAATTAATTTTATTATTTGCAAAGGATATATTCATATAAAAACTGCCTTATTACACTTCCCATTCAGTTAAGAATAACAAAGGTGGAGTTTTTTGTCCCCACACAATTACCTTTTTTTTAAAAAACATTTTATTAGGGGCTCATACAACTGTTATCGCAATCCATACACACATCAATTGTGTAAAGCGCATTTGTACATCATTCTCAAA